CTGGTCGATGTTAACCAACGTTTCAGAGGTCATACTGCCTCCATCATCAGGGCGATGAGTATGAAGATTTCTGTCTTCTGGGTTGTTGCGCTGTGTAGTCTGGTCGATGTTAACCAACGTTTCAGAGGTCATACTGTCTCCATCATCAGGGCGATGAGTATGAAGATTTCTGTCTTCGGGGTTGTTGCGCTGTGTAGTATGGTCGATGTTAACCAACGTTTATGAGGTCATACTGCCTCCGTCATCCGGGTAACAACCCAGAAGACAGAAATCTTCATACTCACCGCTGTGAAAACCTCAAATCTTACATACGTGCAATTACGTGTTTCTTATTCTTGTGAGTGAACAGGGAATTCATTCTTTTATGAGTGATAGTAGCTGTGTTTTCCGTTACCCTCAATTTTCCGCGTTTGCCTTTTCAGCAACGTAGCCTCTGAGGTTAGGAAATAACTTCTGAACAGTTATACACGTGTGTTTTAAACTTTCCTTACGGAGTTTGGACTGTCACATGGAAAGCTGTAGAGAGTGATCTGTTCTCCGGTTTTCAGAAGCTGCTGTTTTGGTTTTGTAACGACACTTGTGAAATACACGAAGCGCGTTTGACGAAATACGAGCCAATATCTGTTTATGTTGGCAGTCGTAATTTTTAGTGAATGTGTGGCATCGTTTCCAGAGTTAGGTGAGTGTCAGGTTTTATGATTATTTTTACGGCGGGCTGTAAAACTGTCAGTTTCTGCCTATGGTTGAGGAAGTAACCGCTGCACGTTAAGTTACTTTATGTAGAACAATAATATCGGTTCGGTTTCTTTAATTATTGTCATTATGTTTTTATCAGTCTTATTCATCTGTGTTATTCCACGTAAATCACTAATGCTCTCGTCTTCACTAAGGTCTTGAACTCATTCGTAATATCAGTAAGAAACAAGATTAAACTCACAGTTTGCCACGAAGGAGATGCATGCACACATCCATTACATACGTAGCATTTTGTGTACATATTTTTGGTACATCTTTATATGTGCCACACAGAATACTTCACACAGAATTTATCACTGATTTCAGTCATTAAAAATCACGCATCATGCTAGACTGTCGTCCTTATTTCTCATCTCCTTCTAGCAATAATTTGGTTTAAGATCCTGCTTAACGTCGTCGTGTAAATCTAACTATCTTTTCCTGTGTTAACTATACACCTACTTCTTATGGCTAGTGCAGTTTAAGTCATATGATATTCTCCTTTTGTGTCTCTCCGAAATATCTTGATTGTATTTATAATGAAAAATTTAAGGGAGATGAATGTGTTATTTTTGTGAAAGGTTTTTTTTCTGTTCTAAGCTATATGGTGTTATTTATTTTTAATAAGTGTCCTCTTGGAAAGGCCAAGCATTATAAATCTATTTTTGGTGATTTTTATTTTCTTGTATGATGAAAAAAATATCACATCTGTTTTTATATTCCATTCATATCTGATAACTTTTTCTATTCTGAGTTTCTGTCTTTGCACGAGGTCATCAATTGTAGAAATTATACTTTCAAGAAGTATAATAGTAATATATAGGCCTAATTCAGGGTCTTATTTGGAATGAAATTTTAAATAAGCAACCCAGTCGTTTTCCAGAACATAAATCCACTTCTGAATGATAAGGACTGTGAGAGTTCGGAAGCGAGTTCCACCACTGCACTATAAAATAATACCGTAAAGAAAGGAACAGTGAGCGTAACATAGGGACTAGAATTATATTCGAAAGAATAGGAAGGAATAGGAAATGTAGCTTTAATAATGTTCCTCTCCACTCCGCTCATGTGGAAATTTATTTTCCAACGAAGGACAACTCTGAGGCAACTAAACTGTCCGTTTTATAATGCAGAATAACTAAATTTATCTGCTGCCATTTCAGCTGCAAGCCCATGTAGCCTGCATATTTCTAGATTGACGTGTTCTGCGATTCTAGTGCAGGAGAAGTAAAACCCCAGAAAGACAAGGGCCCCGAGGGGGATAGAACAATAAATCCACGACTGCCATGTTGACTTTTGTCGTCAAAATAATTAAAGTTCTATATTATAAATAAATAGACTCTCAGACTTAAGAATGTGTGGAGAACGCATCTGGGAAATACGTAATTCTCAGATGTGCAGTTAAGGACGACCAGCGTCTTTATCAATGGGCGCTTCCTAATAACTTGTTAATATCATTATTAAGGAATCGTTAACACCCAGTTCTTATAATAATTGATCACTGCAATTAGATCTGCAGTGTATGTTCTATAACAAGTGTTGCAGCAAAGAAATATCTTAATGAAAACTTATTTGGTATCATACAAGTTCAGAGACGTGTCACGCTTTACAATATTATTTCGATTTAAGAACCCCAAAAAATTACTGTCATAATTTAGCAATGAAATATCCACCCGCATTTTGCAAACTGAATAAGGTTACGATTTATGAGATTTCAGTTTACGCGGTTTTTTCTTCAGGATTGCACCTAGCGCGTTAATCGATATATCTGTTCAGTGCTGCTCATGTCTACTGGTTCTATAGCAGAATTTGCTCTCAAATGTCGCAGTATGATTGGTACAAACGGGCTATTTGTACTCTTCCCACCGGCCTCCATTAACTCGCCCTTATTGAGTTATGCAACGAACTTTTGTAACCCTGCCCGAGATGTGTTTCGCTGTCTTGCGTTTAAAATGAGGTCGAAACAGTATTTAAGCTGTATAAACGAGAACAATTTACAGCAGAAGATTTCATTCTGTAAAATGCTGCAGTGGACATACACTTCCACTTCTTTTATTTCCATCATCTTGTCTGTTCCCTTTTGTCATCACGTATAGTTTCCCTTGTGCCTTCTTGCAAATAGGAACAACCCCCGTTCTATGTTCTTTCGTCTCCTCAAATAACAAAAGCCCCAATTTTAATATAACAATGTAACAAACCTGAACCAGTTCGCTTCGTATTTCATACGAGAAAATGCAGTCTTGGGATTCCCACGTCTGTCTGACGCGAGAGAGAGGAAAATGGGAAATTATGTCATCACCAGTGGTGACGGTGAGGCGAACTAATATTTCCACTGACGTAACAAATAGAAATAACAAAACCATTCTCTGTATGAATGCAATAAGTATGGCGCTTTAAATTAAATTTCTTGAAAGACCGTCCTGTTATTCTCTTTATGTTCAGGGAACTGTGTTGTTCTGTATGAATTGAAGTATGTAACAACTTTACACACGTTTTCACAGTGTATTTTGTCTGTACAGCGCGCTTTAATTAAACAGAGTTTGACTGAGCGGTCAGTTACGAACAGTTGATGTACTGTGGACTGTACAGGATCGATCATGTTACTTTGCAACATAGAAAATGCGTATTTTAGAGGTAAAAATGTTTTTCAAATCACAGTTGGATCCACTGCGACAGACCCATTATTTATAAGTCTTATTCATCTTCAGTTGTAATGGACTGGACTCTTGAATTTTGTGATTCAGAATAATTTATTACATATAAATAATCACATTTCTGTTTAGATTACAAATTCAATGTATAAAACTAAAACTTTGCGACTTCTGCGTTGTGGTGTCGTGTATTGCAAGAAATCTATAAACTTTTAATAATTACAACAATAATAGGCCGTGTGATAATATTAATATTTTTCCTCGGAACCTGACTACCACCCTAATGGAAGAAGGTCGACCATTGTACAGTTGGAAGGATCAATTCGACTAACTTGGAGATTGGAACTGGTGAAAAGGTTTAAACCTTGCAACTGATTAATAAATACATCGCTTGTGGAATGTAGAAGTGAAAGCGATGCTGATAGTAACTAACATAGCTGAAAGCTTATCCCGATGACTTAAAAACGATTTAGATGATATTTTTGACTCTAGCGTGGAACTACGAAAGTGTGACATTCTGGGAGCAGCAGACATCTCGAGGAAAATCTGTATGTAATTAGCCTAGGGGTCAAGGTTTGACTCGTGGCTCATGGGCATGCCCTGTAATATGGTGCGAAAATAGTAATAACAACAAAATAAACCAGAATGCAGTTATTTGTGAAATTTTTAGTGCCAGTTATTTAATAAACTGAGACAAGAATGATATATTCCTCTATTTATAGTCTGTTTTATAATAGACTTGAAAGTTGCGCTACTTCACGAAATAAGGACCTATAAACCATAGAATATTTACGGGAAGAAATATTTACTTTGATTTATTTTGTGTCCTGCTTTCTAAGGGAATGTCCGCGTGCCAGTGGACTTCACGTTCTTGCAAATCTTCGCGTGACTGGGGCTGCTTCTGCCCTCAAAGTCCCCTCACAACTGCACACTCACGTAAAATTTCACAAGAAAAAAGTTATGTTCTGCGGTTACGTACGTGGAAACTGGGAGATAACGCGAGCGGAGTTGTAGTCTAAAGCCATTGGTTTGAACCCCGGGCATCGTTCCATTCCATTTCACCGTGTTTTATGGGACTTCAGGACGATTGCTGCTTACAGCGGTTTGTGTGGTACAGTGAGATACAGAAAGATTGATAAATAAAGATGGAGGAAGGAAAGAAGAAAAATACAAGTATTGGTTGAACCGTAGCATGTCTGGTTGCTTCGAGTTTGTGTGTAGGAGAAGGCAAAACAGGTCTTATCACTGGATGTTTCTGAATTCAGCAATTGATAATATTAAAAGGAGCTGCCCATAAGATGTGTAGTATTTTCTTAACACTGGATGCTTCATAGGTTAAAGGGAGAAAAAAAATTGCCATGATATGAAAAGTGACTTGCACCATGCTCTAATTGTATTTAACTTTTCGTATTTTACGGTTGCTATTTTAAAACTTTTTAAATATTATCCAATAACATCGTCGCTCACAGTCGTAGATCACACCTGGCCTTGGTCTGAATAAAGAGACAAATTTATTTAATAATCCGTACAAGTCCTTTATAACTAAATAATATACAGGGGCTTATAGATTAGCCTAAACATGCAAGGCGTATAAATTTGGTGGTTTCATTTCAGCTGATCGTCGTTTCTCGATGATCGAATACACTAGCCAGGCGACCAACGTTTAAATGATTCGTCACAGACCACCAAAGAACGTGCCCGCAGGTAAGTACATGATCGTAATAATTGTTATTAACATAGAGGTATCGTGTCTGACACCCATTGTCCTGGTCGAGTGGTTAGCACCCCTGCTTCGTATTCGAGAGTCAGATAAATAAATAATAAAAGGTATGTCTGACAAATTAGTATCTACATTTTCCGAGACCATATCAGTTTCATAAACTGCCAGGATATATCAATGAAACACATCAATTTCTTTCGAACTAGCACGTATGAGTGAGATGATAAATGTATACAACATTTTCATTGGAAGTTTGAAGGTAAAAGAGTACTTGGAATACCTAGATGTAGATGGTGGAAAAAATCGAACTTCCGAAAGTACGGCAAAAGGATGTGGCTTGAATTAGTTTACCTGCTTATAAGAATTGTTGGCGGGTTATTGTGAAAACAGTAATGAAATTTAGGGTCTCATAAAAGGTGGTGAAATTCGTGACTAGATGCGCGTCTGTTTATTAGCGTGGGACTCGTAATACCAGAACAGTATAAAAACAAGGCGTGTTGAAATTGATAGCAAGAGAGTTGAAAGTGCCAGAACACGAGGTTAGGTGGCGGTGAAATTATAATTTTGTTTTTACTGTGGAAAAGTAATGCTAATCGTCACTTGGGGACTTCTTTTTGTTGTACATAATTGAAGCTGAAAATCAGCTGTTAAGATAATAGAGGTTGTTCAAAATGGGGTGTAATTTATTATTATATGTGGTAGATGGCATGATATCATCGGAAAAATGCATGGCTCAAAACAGAGAAAGGTTATAGTATAAATATTTGTATGAATAAAACAGCAATAATTATAATGTTCTTCAAGGTAACTATTAGGAATGCAAATACAGGTGTAGAAGGCATGTTTTTACAAGTTTTTTCGATAGTTGGTTATCATAACGGGGTTCACAGCAAATTTTACCGACATCGAAAATATACTTGCAAGAGTGTAGCATTAACACATTATATTAAGGCGTACGAAACTGAAATTACAACTTATTTCGTGTTTAGTAACTAATGACGTTTTAGATTATGGTCTTCTGGGTTGACTTGTAGTCCTGTGCATGGCTGTGGAGTCGAAGTCGGTAAAAATATACCGAATCCGACTCTGACCCCGATATAAAAATTTAAGAACAATTTCTATACCGTGTGAGCTGCCGGCGGCCTCACGATTAGGGAGATTCAACGACGCGTTGAGCCACACGGTGTGGGAAAAATGCTTTGTAACTTTGGCTCCGTTACTTTAAGAATACAGACTATATACAAATCAACCGATTTCTGCAATAACCATTACACGTACGTATATTTAAATATAGGTTATAAGTCTAAAAAGTGGGCTGATGATTCACGTGGTGATGATGAAATCTCTTATGGTGCCATTTACCATTTTAGTAGGTTTACCATTATTAATGCATATTGAGCTTTTATGAAGGAGTCGGAGATTTTAGTATCGACTCCACAGCCCTGATCTTGTGGGTGATTGCCAACGGTCGTAAGGCGTCACAGCCTAAAAGTTTACATCAATATATCTCCCGCCATGAGAACATTAAATGGCTGATATCTTACTAAACTACGTCCAAGGAGAAAAGTCTTCTTCGAGAAGCTAGATATTTCTCATAGTATTTCATATGGTGAAGACATTCTCCAGTCTTTATAGAACCGAATGGTTATGTTATTCGGTTTTCAGTAAAAATTAAATTCGGTCATAAGAAGATCCAAGTGATCCTAAATGTATTGTCATTTTAAAGATGAGCAGAATTAGCTGAGGTAGATAAATTTCAGTAATTTTAAAGCACGTTTTGATTGTGTTATAGGGAACGTATCGTACTCAGCTAGGGTATTTTAATCGTGGCTTGCTATATAGAACTCTGTTGTCAGTGGCGAATGATATTTTAAGGTATGACTGAGTGACGTATGTGAGTTTATTTAAAGTTTTTATTGAATGGCAGGAGAAATGCATGGTGATTAATATGTGAACTGATTGACAAGTCAGTAATTTCAAAACTAAACACTTCTGTCTGATGGAATGTAATAACGTATTGAAAACTGAATATTTGTGCTTGGTGGCGGTTGAGTTTTAAAATGACAAACACGCACTCTGCAATAAGTGGCGCATGATAAATTATATTCGTGTCGAACACTAATGAGGATTTATGTAACATATTTTTTGTCAGTTAAATTTATCTATATGAAGGAACCACCCAATACATCATAGATTATTTATTTTTAATAACACGAGTTCTTTAAAGCACCTAAATTATTTTCAAAGGTTCGTAAGCTACCTTAGATTATAAAACTTAAAATTGTTATAAAATTGTATGAATTTCATAGTTAATTTTGTTAATCGTTGCAGTGAAATTAATTTAACAGGATTTAAACGTTTTCGAAACGTCGGTATTTTGCGACTACCTGACGCGTTGAATTTAGTCGCCGCGAAAGATACTGATTTTACGTAATTTAACAGTATTTTATATTCGACTGTTGAGAGATTTCGTCATGTCTGTTGAATTAATATTCTCTTATTTAATACACATTCAAGCTGTATAATTTTTGTTCAGATGGCATCGTCCTGTTAAAACACGTGTATAATCTGGAAAGGGGAACACATCTGCATGTTGTTGGTACGGCACTTGTGGAACTACAGTTTGTAGCTCAGTTGCTTAGCGACTGAATGAGATAATTTTTCTAGATAGGCAGTTATATTTTGCGAAATTAAACGCTGTATGCAAGTAGTGTCGATAGATGTTAGAATTTCAACAGTTATTAGAATAATGCCAGGCAAATCTGAGAGCGAATTGAAGAGGTGTAATACAAGAACAGAAGCTGTAACGTTTCCCGTGTACGAAGTGCCAAAGGTACACAGCGAGACTGAAATCCATCTTTGGTTTCTTGTCACCTGATTTCACTGCGGCCATTTTGACAGTAATACGAGTGTTTTTGTAAATTATTTGCCATAACATGTCAGGATTGTTTGTGGCACTGTCTCTCCTCTTGTATCACAGTACTTGTATGCACATTATTTGATTGACTTAGGTTAGCGTTTGATCTGGAATTGGCACAAATTTCATACCGATTAATTAATTTGGAGCTTATGTTGTGAGAACTATGCACACAGATACAAAATCACACTTATAATTGGAGCTGTCCCGTAAGTCTGCACAGACACAGACACACTGTTTGTCTGAAATTAATTTAATTTTTGTCATGTTAGACTGAATAACGTTTAAGAAACCAGTCAGAAAAAGGGGACAAATAAGAATAAATTTGTTAACCGAATGGAAGTTGTAAAAATTAAGACGATGTTTGTCTTCTGGATATTAACGCTATTCGGACTTGTAGTTAGATACCAACATTTTGTAGGAACATACTGCTCTCATTTTCACGGGCGAAACTTTGGTATGAAATAAAAGTCTACACAACGTTGCTGCCAGGAAGACAAACATCGACATTTTCACCGCATTGATGACTTCATACCTCATACTTTAGAAATTAGCATCGAAGGGAAAAGTAAATTATTTATTTTAACGTGTTCCGAACAGCATTTTAATGCTTAAAAAACACGTCACAAATTCTCAGTTTTTGAACAGATTACATTCTCGTGTGTTTTTTCACTGTGGCGTTTCAGAACAAGTGACTCGCGCAAGCTGACCACCCCTAAGTGGCTCTGTATTTGAACACCACCCCGCTGGACGCTCTGTTGTTCTCTTTCTGATACTAGAGGGCATCTCCGCGCTCTACGCTTGCGCGACCTGGCTCTACGACACTCTATAAGCCAAGCGCCAGTATTCATCTGCAAACCAGTGAGAACCGGGCTGCCCATAGGGGCGCATTACCTGGGCAATTTCAAGTGGTAGACGTCACTGTGTTGTTTTAGGTGATGATACTGGTATGTCAGTGAAGTGCCGCTGAGCTATGCTAAAACGACCTTGTCTCGTTATTGTCATTATTATCGCTGACTGAGTGGGTGTGTTCATGTTATTTATTGTTTGTATCGTAATTGTACTTTAAATCGTAATTAGTGAAGGTAAACATGATCAGACCAAACCTACTTTTTAATATTTGTTTACAAATAGTATATTTCGCATCACTACAGTATAGACATAATAGAGTTTAAAGTACGGGATGTATGATATAAGTAACGTAATTCAAAATAGTTACATCATTGTATGGACGCTAAGGAAATAGCTTATTTCAGAAATAAGGCGATTAAGGTTGGATATCTGCGAACGTTAATAGTAGAAGCGGTAAAATAGGTAGGGTAGAAATGTCACTGTTTGTAATTTTCCGTGCCTAATCTTTGCGTTTCGTTATTCAAGCAGAGCGAAACTTTATTAGAGGTTAAGAAGTTCTTCATCTGAAGCAAAACGTAAATCTTGCACAGGCTTCTTTAAAGTAAAAGTCATTTAAAAAGCTTCTGTCATTTTACGTGCATTTGCTTTTAGTTGTGCCCAGAAAACTTGTATTGTCTTCCATACAGAGAACACATATTTCCGTCTCTCGCGAGACCTTTTACATTAATTTTAAAGACTGATGAATTGTGGGTTTTATTCGCTATCGCGTGTGTGCTGATGAGGATTCAGTCCAGCAGCGCCTTGTGTTGTCACCATGAGGCTCGCCGGGGAGTCAGTATCTTCACCTGGTAGCTCCCGCTATAGTCGGTCACCACGTGGGCCCTCAAGGGCTCCCCTCGCCCGGGCGGCGCGGCCCCGAGATTCTAAGACCAGCAGCAACAGTAGTAATGGGAGGGTATACGGCGTCGTGGGCGTCGTGGCGCTCAGTTGCTACCTCAACGGCCTGACCGGGGACTTCGTCCACGATGACATTCCCGCGGTCACGCAGAACAAGGACGTGCTGGGACTCAGCCCCCTGAGCCACGTGTTCCGCAATGACTTCTGGGGCACTGCGATGAGCGACGTTAACAGCCACAAGTCCTACAGGCCACTCACCACTCTCACCTTCAGGTACGAACTTCTGTGTACAGGCACACAGTTACAGTCTTGTTGGAAGTGTGTATGGATAACCCTGTTGCATTCCTGATTTTGTAAGCAAAGTAATGAAAATTCTTGTTCCATAAAAGACGAAAAATTTCGTCTACTGTCGACTATCAATTCCTCAAGAACTCTACTCGGTGTAGTTAGTTAGTCATATAGACATTTAATAATTGCAGCACTCAAAATTGTAAATCACGTTTAATACACATGCAAAACAACATGTATCAAAATCTTTGGAATTCAGCTTTTCATGTGATCTACCGGAATTGCTGTAGATTAAATAACTGTAGTTTGATTGATTTTTTGCAATTAGTAACTAAAAACTGGTACTATTTTGTTGCCTTTAGGGTGGGTAATGAAAATACTGGATGGTGATTTAGGAGACACTGTGTCAAGATCTAAGTTCAGAAAACCCATTGGTTGTGAATCGGCTATAAATACGAACAGGCTTTCAATTCTTGATCAGTGTATTTGGTATTTATAGTGGCGAATGTAACATTGACGCGCATTGCTGTCTATTCGTAATACTAATTGATCCATTATTCGTATAGTTTACAATTAGAAACAACTTCTCAAATGAAAACTGAATGTAGCGTATTTAAAGAATGAGCCGTGATAAGGCGTATTAATCTATTAATCGTGATAATTATTTCATTAATAATGTTATTCTAGGTGACTATTTGAGATGTTTTGAGTTATATAGCATCGTGATCGACGTTGGTCGTCGAGTAATTAGCAATTCTGCTTCGTATTTATGACATACCGGGTTCAAATTTTGACCTGGAAAACGGATATCCTGATTGTTGCCCGCGTGGTTTACCTCAGTCTCCTGAGCCAAAAGCCGGGATATCAGATTAAGCCACGACCGGAAATGTTAGAAGTAAGCTTAGTCGTTGCTGGCAGAACGCAATTTAGGGTTTATGAAGAATTGGTGTCTGTTTTAGAACGACTGGCATTGACATCCTGCGTAAAGTTGTATACAGCATGGTCTCTCATCTTTAAGGGAGAAGTTAGAGGGAAGGTGAGCCTAAGGAAAAATAGGAAAACGAAGTCTAGGAGGATGAGATCGGCGGAAGATGAAGTACGCATGGCGTAGGCTGAGAAATGTGTAGAAGATTTTTGTCGGAAAACCTAACGGAATTCGTAGAAGCAAATGAGAGGGTATAAATATATTTTAATAAGGTGTATTCATCTGACTCAGTGTGGTATCCAATAGCTGGGTCGTGTGAACACGCCAAATAAACTTAGAATTCACAAAATAAGGAAAGTTGATTTGGACAGCGTCTGCTCCATGGAGTTAATATATTTGAAGTGTGTTCCTTTCAGAAAACCATGGGGAGATGTACAGTGCGAAATATAAGAGGAAGATGAAGGAGGATGTGTTAAAAGGATTTTGAGAGATTTTAAGAGGACTTTTAGAGATAACATGAAGATAAAACGACTATATGTAATTTTTAATACGCAACTTTTTGCTTTACAGAAGCATTGAGTTTAAGATTTATATCAAGGCGGGTCGTGTAGCACGCATAAGATTAGAAGCACGTAAAAAAAAGTGTGGTCCTAAAACCCGAATAAAAGAGACACCTTGTGACACGCAGGAGAAAATTTGAGTATTTTTTTTTATTAAAATTGACATGGAAGAAATAGGTTAAGAGGTTTTGTATATATTAATCTGGCTAAAGATATGAACCAGTAATATACTCTTCTGAACACGGCAGTAAACATTCAGTTTTAAAAAAGGACGTGGCTGTTGACTTATAGACCAAAGTATTTTCTACATCAGCGTTTCAGTAGTTATCAAAGCGGAAATGAAACATTGACAAATCTGTACTGTGGAGTTTCATGGCACGGGGATAACCGACAGATATTGAACTACCATCCATCAGCTCTTAGACGTGATGGTAATATTTTTTCTTTCTAAAGGGTAAAGGGTTTTAAAACTTGATGTTCTTGCTGTCAGTCCCATCCTAGATCACGTGTCTTTGTAACCGCCAGGTTTGAGCACAAAAGGGCGAGGGTGGCCCTATTGGCCCTCTTTCTCTCAGTAATCAATCAAGTTGGAGCTGGACTTCACTTCTCTCCACACCGAAACTAGGTTTTGCACTAAAAACAAAGTATGTCACGGTGTCAAGAGGTGTGTGTAATTGAGTTTCTCACGACAGGAAGCCGCGAAGTCCGTTTCAAACAAATGGGTACGGAAACCTTAACTAACATTTTTCTCAGTCGTGCAGAAACAGGAAGGCGCCGACTGGCTTAATTTCCATTTGAGTAATTTAGCATTAAAAATAAAAGAAATCCGTTTGCATTCTCTTGTAATTGGCGTAGCTGTGTCCTTTATAATACAAAACAATGGAAATAAATTAATTATTCTGAATTCTGACTCCTTGTTGACGTACATTTGGATATAAACGTAAACTCCCTCCATATTTGGGGCTGAAGATGAAGCAGTATGCTCCCCCGAAACGTCCTATCTGCCTATGTTCTCTTATCTTCAGCCCTGAAGATGGGGGGATTTTGTTAACTCCGGAAACTTTGAAATCTCTGCCTACAAGTTTACACGATGTTGTAACCCAGAAAGACCAACATTGACATTTTATTTCCGTGAGAACTTAAATCTCACACGTAAGAATTTCATAGAGCGTATGTTCTTGGGAATTGAATAATTTCTCTTCTACGTCGGAAAATCTCTGCTGTATTTGAAAACCGAAGTTTTGTTACTGTGTTTGCTAATATGGTATAGGAAACTGTGATTAAATGTTTTTTTTTAGCTTTTCGTTGTTAATGTATGCACCCATTTTCAGTTTGTCCTCAGTAGCGTTTTTTTGTTGTTCTGAAAATCATTTCTTGAATTGTATCTGATTTTTATGAGGCGGAATGTGTTTCGATGTTTGAACAGCTTTAAATACGTTATTAGGAAGGCATATTAAAAAAGCGCTGAGACAAGAGTTTAGTCCACATTACGTATTAATATATTTACAAATGTTGATTTTTATAAAATTTATGGTATATGTGTGTACATATACAAGACGCTAAAACTTATAGTGGCACATCTGTTGCGGAATTTTAAATTCCGCCAAACAAGCAATAATAAATCTCATATCTTATGAGAACACATGCATTGGTTGATGCCTCTGTATTCAAGCTGGTATTAATAAAAGTTAAAAATCGAAGTTTCGAAGTTTTTAAACAAGGTAGTCCTTCTGCAGCTCACATCCCTTATTAAGATGTGTTATTTTAAAGTTGTGTGGGGACATAATAGGGCTATATAGTTTTCAATATTCTTCGATGAATTGGGCAGGAAAGTCTCTTAACTGCTTAAAGGACAGTTGTACTTAAATGTACCACAAACTTTAACAAACAGTAGCCCTGCGTTTTCCCACACACGGGGGATTCATACAATTCCTAAGATAAATAGCGTTAGGCTGTCTCCTTAAACAGCAGTTACTAATTGGATCTTATGATGGAGATGCATTGTGTTTTTGAGGAGAGAGAGCTGAATTTTAAAACGGTATTTAAATGAACGTCGGGCTTCAAACGGTCAAGACGTTTTACGTGTGCTTATTACTACTTACTGCAAATTCGTAAATGACCAGTGTTGAATTTTGGAACTGATCTCAATGTCCATTGAGGAGCGGAATGAAAGCAGACAGTTAGATGAGTAAGAGATTAAAGCTGAATTTGAATAAGAGGCGTCTGTCACATTAATTGAAGTGAAATACTGTGGAATGAATATATACAGATGGGAAAACCTGACGTTAAGAGGCCGATTAGGAGATGTAAGCGTAAATGAGAGGATAATATTGTAAAAGATTAAAAGAAATGAAATGTAAGGGTATTGACTAGGTTACAAATTGGCTCAGAGTAGTGTCAAATAGCTGGCACTTCTAAGCATGAAAGCGAACATTAGATTTTCATAAAAGATTGGAAATTGTTTCAAAAATCGGCTTTTCGTAACTTGTTCCACGGAGGTAGAATGAAATGTGTGTAAGGAGAATAAATTGTGGCTGTCAGTATTGTGATAATCACAGTATGATTTCTGTTAATGAAATCACTTCTCAGAATTACTTTTCTCAGCCATACCTCTAACCCGAAAACAAACTCGAATCCCAATCCGGCAACTGTGTCGAACCCTGACAAGAAAAGCGATGGTACAAATTTATATCTCAGACTCAACATTTCTTTTGTGTCCGTAATCGGTCGCTCTCCAAATATATTTCTTCAATGACATTTTTATTTTATGTGGACAATTCACTTTACCTTGTAGTCATTTATTTGGACTGAACAGTATGTATGTAGAACAGAACTACAATAACAGTGTTTATGCAATTCTCCTCTGATGTTTTATGTATTGTATTATTATGTGATTGGAAATTCTGTTTGTGTATAGAATCACAACATCTATCAAGGCTGCCAACATAACTGAATTCATCAACATTACCATTTCCAATCTAATCAACATTAATGGTAGAAGTGATTGATTTCTACATTGTGTATAGTTTGTCTAACAGTTGCCCACTTTATAGAATGTCAAGTGGTACTAGCGAAGAATCGGTTGGTTACTGAAGCATTCTGCCAATTTATCCTTTCTTTCTAAATATATAAAGACAGATAAGCTGAGGGCTTCTGGCGAAAACCGTTAAAAGTAGGTGATGGATTCTCATAAAACTGATTCACACTGAAACAGCCTTGTAAGTCGTGCAAAGTGTTGGAAGCACCATTTAAGTATAAAATTCTGCGAAGTTACGCGGTAGTAGATGTTGGATAATATAGATTAAATTTTTTCTTTATTTTCTCCATTTTATGTAGAATAACTAGGTGCTGACTGCTCAAACTGTGCAGCTACATTTATTTTTGATTGTTGAAATGACTAAAGAACCGTTGGATTTAGGCAAGTGAAATACTGTATAGAGACAGATTATAAATATACCTGAAAATTGTATATGAAGTATTATTTTATATTTAAACATTAC